TCCTTGTCTTTATCTCTTGTCTCGCCAACCCTTAACCCAAAGAGCCACTAGTTATCTTCCTAAAACAGCTTGACTGACGACATTCCCCTCCCTCAGAAACCCTCATTGGCTCCTCAATTGTATTGTCCAGGAAATACAATTTATATTCCTTCTACTATTAATACCAGATTGTCTATATCTGGGTTTGACATTTTGTCTACCAAAGATGTGACTGGACCCTCTCCACTATGGTGTGAAAATTGTGCTATTTTGATGATGGTCCCTTACTAGCTGAAGGTCCTCCCATAGTTTATATCTCAACAAACTCTATGGCAATAGAGAAGGTACTTTCTTGTCTTACTATCTGTACAACATAGCACGAACTATACTCTAGAATAGGTAAGACCTTGATTCAAATCCCACCTCTGTTATTCACTAGCTATAAGACTGTGAACATATTTCGTCATCCCTTTGAATCTGTTTTCTTGTCTGTCAAATGGAGGTGATAATTCTGATGTCATATGGCAGTTGTGGGTTTTAAATGAGACAATCATGTAAGTTCCTTGGTATGGGGCCAGGCCCAGAGATAATATTCAATAGCTACGAACTCTTATCACGAGGCCAAAATCCGTTTTTTAAAACATAAATGAGAAAAAAACCTCAGTGTTAAAACAGTTAATGTCACTGGAGAGCCAGAGAGACTCACTTCCAACTGCCTCAGATTAACAACAATGTTGTTTCCCTTGTACAGATAACAAAAAACTTCCTTTTTCATTCCTCAGTCTAGTCTCCAGTTAATCCTGAAATTGCATGCAACCCAACGTGAATCAAATAAAAAATGAAAACAGTAATTATGCCGAATCAGACATTTTATATGTTCTAACCAGAGATTGAGCTGCATAAGCCAAAACTTCTACTAAATTCTTTTTTGAACATGCCCAGAGGATACCTCCCGTAAAATACTTGGGACAATTTCTATAGTGATAGGCCCTGTGGCTCAATTAGACCCTGTCCAAGTGAAACACAGAGCCAAACTGATGATTCCAACAAAATAGGAGATCACAAATTCATTGCAAAATCCAACACATTATTTAAGGTGCGGAAGGGGGAATATAAATCTTAAAGACACATACTGTGTGTGTCATATATAATCAACTCACTATTAGAAAGGAAAGTATTGCTACCTCTCTAACACACATACACGCACACCTTTTTCCATATAATCCTAACAGCCTATAGGAGTCCTGGAATCCTCTGTGTATATGCATATGAGAGTGTGGGTTTGGGCACATGATCATAAGTGCATTGCTCATGAACGCAAAAGGGAACAAGAAATAAAAACTCCAAAATTGCAACTAAGGCACAAAGTTCTGAGTATCATTCAACGTCACTGTGAAGGGGACCTTTGCAAGTTCAAGAAAATTTCTAACCCATTGCCTCACTCTTTTTTTTGAGACAGAGTTTCACTCTGTCACCAGGCTGGAGTGCAATGGCACAATCTCAGCTCATTGTAACCTCTGCCTCCCGGGTTCAAGCGATTCTCCTGCCTCAGCCTCCCGAGTAGCTGGGACTACAGGTTCGTGCTGCCATGCCCAGCTAATTTTTGTATTTTTAGCAGAGACGGGGTTTTACCATGTTGGCCAGGATGGTCTCGATCTCTTGACCTCGTGATCTGCCTGCCTCGGCCTCCCAAAGTGCTGAGATTACAATTATGAGCCACCGCGCCCGGCCACTTCACTGTTAAAAACAATTTCAGCATGGATGATTAATAAAATGCCCATTGTTGTATACCCTTTACTCTCCGTCTTTATGGAGCGGGGAGGCAAAACAAAAATGGTAAAATTTTTAAACTTACTATCACTAGCATTTTCATTTTTACTAGTGAACCAGCATTACTAGTTAATATCCTATAGTATTAGAGTCCTAAATCCCTTCTCCCTTGGAAATGCTTGGGCAATCCCTTCTCATCATCTGTATCACTCATACGGTACTTACACACTGTGTTGTATTCTAATTTTGTGTGTGCCTGGCTGGACTCAGCATTATTTGAAAAGTACAGCAGTCAAGCAGACAGGCAATGCAGAACCTCAGTTGGAAGCCCCTGTCAGCATGATGTACTCCCTGACACCCTTGAGAGCACATCAGATTATCCTAATTATGATCTATAAAGACTGAGACTCCTTCAGAACATGGAGCATTCTTAAAGCCTGTTCAAACCTCTAGAAGGCAAGTGCAAGGCCATCTGGAATAAAACATTAAACTTGGGCTAAGCATGGAGCTCAATGAGCTAGGCACACAGACTTTGTGATACTTCACCTGGAAAATGATCCTGGGTGTTTTACACTGAAAAAAGCACATCCCCCAACCCAGGGTAAGCGCGGGGCAATTAATCCCTTCAGACCTAGGCTGAATACAAGTCACTATATTGACTATCCCCCTTAAAAAATGACCAAAATTATCTTAGTGTAGCCCAGAGAAGACAAGGCTAATGTATGCATCTTGAGAGGCCAGGGCGATGGTAAAGATTACGCCTATTTCTATACTGGCCGTCTAAAGGTATTTACTTGGGTCTGTCTGTGTTGTGACAGTGTCCTAGACTCAAATGAATGCCTCTAACACTCCACATTTTTGAGCCATTCAGTCATGCATTTTTGTTATTGTTGAAAGTGGTGCGAAATTGCACTGCATGAGCTAAAGTCCTTGGTGGTCTTCCAAGGATTCCAGCTAAAAAGGCACTTCCTTTGTTCCTCAGGAGAATGCAGTCCAGTAGGTCATTCAAAAGGGGAAATAAAAGCAGCAGCCCTGGGAGGGAGATGAAGGACAAGACAAAAAGAATAAAATGTTTTGGGTGTGAGCACATTAGCTTCCATTTCCTGCTGCTGGTCACTAATAACTCCCCTATCTTTGGCCTGGGGGAATGTCCAGATAGACATATATGCAAAATATCTCTCAGGTGTTTTCTGGGGATGATGAAATCAAAGGGAACACCTAGGACAGAGTCTGTGAGTACTCTTCAAGCTTCCTTTTTCCTGAGATGCTGGCTGGGGAAGATGCTCCGCCACAGCGAAAGACTGCACAGAGCAAAGTTGGAGAAACTGGGGAGGGCAATTTCACAACCCACTCCCTGAATGCCTGCAGTCAATATCAAAGGCACATATTGTTCACATGAGCAGAAGATGAAACCTTGTCACATTCCCATTAAGTGCAGAGCTGCATCTACCCCTTCAAAATGTGGGAATGACAACTGTAACCTTCACGCCAATCATGTCCGCTGTGCCCAGGCCCAAACTGTGTAGGGCACAAAGGCCCCAGGTTTGACCTGCAGAGCCCCCAAGCTTCAGTGGCTGCTGGTTCACTTCACTTTTTTTTTTGGCGGGGCAGGAGGAAGGGAAAGAAAGAGGGCTTTTCAGGGCTCTACGACCAATAAAATCGTGCCGCTTTGAGGACATACTTGAGCTCCCCAAAAGACAGGCAGCTGAAGGGCAAACAGTGTCTAATCAGTAGCGAACACGTTATTTGGTAACTGCCAAGGTGCACTGGGCACCTGGGCTGCTCCAACAATTTATTTCTTCGGTTCTATTTCTATACAGATGCCAGTTACACTCCAAAAGTGCCCAGCAACTTCCCTCAATTACCTTTGTAATTTATATGAAATTGATGACTGCACTTAATCTCCAAGGTTATTAATAGCTCTTCCAAAAAATGACCCCCAAGTCTTCCTAGGCCTTTGGAAGCGCCTGGTTGAAATTACAGTATTTCCTTTGCTGGCTGCCGGCCCCCTGCCTGCCCCACCCGGGGACCAGCACCTCAAGGCAAAGGCGCGCTCCACTCACTTCCATGAAAAGTTCGGAGTGGAGGCTCGGCCTTCCGGGCTCGAATCTCTCACTCCTCCATTAAATTACACTGGCCACCAGCCAGCTAGATTCGTGGTGCTTTCTGAACCCCCAGGGCGAACGGGCTACCTGAGCGGACGGCGGGGCTGCGCGCAACAGTTGGCCGTTGCGAAGAAGTGCGTGCGACTTGGAGGGGACCCGGCCGAACACCGCCGGCGTCCTTGCTGGGAGGGACTCAGGACACCCGCCAAACGCTGCCTCCCCAGCGCTCTAAGAGGGGCTTTCACAAATACCCCCATACACCCCCATCCCACCCCACTGGCGCCAAAATCCGGTGAACTTTTTCACAGGCTAAGCCGTCTCCATTTGCATAACCATCTCCAAACTGAGATTCAGGTTTCCTGTAATCAGTCCTTTCAAAGGTCTGTAATTGAAAGAGCAATTAACCCTTAAAATGAGGTAAGAAAAAAGAAAGAGGGGGAAAATACCCTTCTGGTCCGATACCTCCCGGAAAGTAAGAGAGTTCCCAAAAGTCATGGTTTGGAGGAGTGGAGAGTGAGAGTAGTCGTTTGCTTTTTAAAGGCGACTTCTAAAGCCGTTGCAGCTACTAAAACTCCTAATCCGTGTCAGCGGTGCAAGAGAGGCGGGGAAAGCGTTTTAAAAGAACATCAAGTTCCACGTTTTGTGACCCCCAGAATCTGGCAAGATCCGGGAGGTTTCCATCTACCACACCCCACTGGCGACCCCCACCCCCCTCGGCCTCTCATCATCCATACAACAAAGCTGGGCGTCCTGTAAGGAGTTCAACCCGGAAAAGACGAGGGAGCCGGTGACACGCACTTTGAGGGCCAGAGTCCTCAGGGGCTTCCCGGGACCGCGAACAGTGCGAGGGAAGGGGAAACGGAGGGTGGCAGTGGAGCGCGACAGTGGCACCGGGCAACCCGGCGTCGCCCCTCCACTGGCAGTGCTGGGGGAGGGGGGAGCGCCGCGCCCGCGGGGAACGTCCTGCGTCCGGGCTGGCTGGCTGGCCGGCTCGCTCGCTCGCTCGCTCCTGCTGTCTCCACTGCCCATTTCTCTCTCTAGTGTACGTGCGTCCAGCGCAGGGGGCGGCGGGGCGGGGAAAGGGGGTCGCGTCCCCTTTCCCGAGGTGTCCGTCTCTGCACCCACCTCCTGGGGGTGCCCACCTACCGTTGATCTCGTGCAGGGGGGCATCGTTCTTGTTGAAGCCTTTGGACACGTAAAGACGTCGCACTTCCGAGCAACTTTTCGACTTGAGCTCGGCAGCCAGCAGCGCGGCGCTGAGCACCGCCAGGGTGCAGAGAAGCGCGGGCAAGCCGAACCGTGCCATGGTGCGGGCCGGGGCGGACGCACTCCCACCTTTGGGACGGGACGGGAAGCGTCGCTACGGCAGCGGGCCGAGGGCTGGAGGAGTCAGGGACTAGCGAGTGGAGCTAGAGGGCGAAGGAGTTGGAGTTGTGGAGGAGGCAAGCAGGCGGAGGAGACGCGGGGCGAAAAGTGAAGCTGGGCCTCGCGTCAGGCAACGGTCCCCGGTGCCAGGCGCCTGGCCGGAGAAGGAGGGCGTGGAGGCGGCGCGCGGCCCAGGGGAGCAAAGGCGCGGGCCGGTGACCTAGGGGTTCCGCAGGGAAGCGAACCCGGCAAGCTGGCCGGCTGGCGAGGTTGAGACGCAGGGAAGGAGGGGAACGTAGCAGGCGCCACGGGGACCACGGAGGGGGTGGGCAGCGGCGGGCGCTCGCTGCGCGCTGCTCCGACTGCCCTGCGCTGGTCCGCTCGTTCGGCTGGATTCGGCTCGGCTGCCTCTGCCCTCCGCCGCGCGGCTGTGCCCTTCTCAGCTCTGCCGCTGATTGACTGGCCGGCGTGCGCGGCGACGCTCGCAAACTTGGCCAAGCGGGCGGCACGGGGGGGGGGGGGGGGGGGGGCGGGCGGGGGGGGGGGCCGGAGACAGGCGGGAGCAAGCTGGGCCGGGCCGGGAGAAAACCTGGAAGTGGGGTTGGATCCGGAGCGGCCAAATCCACTTCCTAGGGGGCCGCACCGGGCGCCCGGCGCTCTTTCGCGCGACACGCCCCACCCGGCTCCTCCTTCCTCCCCTCCTCCTCGGAGGCGGGGAGCCAGCCTACCGCCCCCCAACCGCAAAGGGAACGCCAACTACTCCGGGCTGACGGGCTCAGGTCCCAGGGAACCGGGCGGCCTGGGACTTGTCCCGAAGCCCAGGTCTGAGCCGCAGGCCTTCTTGCGCGCGGCCACCTGACCCACCGCCTGCGGGCAAAAGCCGCGCGGAGCCCTCCTGCGGCGATATCCGCCTCCCCGCCACCATCCCGCACCCGCGGACGTTCCTATCCGCGCAGCTCCGGGGCTGGGCCGGGAAGGCGTCCACGTTAGTCGCATTGTTTCGCTTGCAGGCAGTAGGGGGATTTGGGTCTCCGAGCTCGTCCTAGAGCCTCACCTGGTCTTCCCAAACCTGCTTCTCATCGAACAGTACTCGTGAAACGCTAATTTGTCCAGGACCCCGGCAAGCATTCTTCCCTCATCCTCTACACTACAACCCTCGACGCCACTCCCATCCCCCACCCGGTTCTACAAATCGAACCGAACCCTGAAGCGGGAGAAATCCCCAACGGCGAGGTGAGGCGGCAAAGTCAGGGTTGACCGCAGAGATCTTGGAGACCATTTGGCTCAACCCTTGTTTCTATTAGGTAGGGGAACTGGGGCCCAGAAAAGGGAAGCAAGTTGCTAATAGCACGCACGGGAAGGGGGTGTCCAGAACCCGGGACTCTTGACTCCCGAATTTCATGGAATAATGGTAGCCCAGGACCCCCAAATCCCCTACCCCCCAAACCCCTTGAGAGAGACTGACACCCCTCTGAGACTCAGTCCCCACTTTTCCACCAGAAAACTGGAAAATGCGAGTCTTCCCATCTTGCAAGCTTTGTCAGGTTCCATTAATGAGTGTTTTTTTGAAGCTCCCAGGGCTCCTTAAATGAAGGGAACTGTGCAGATCGAGAACTTGTCATTATCATTGTTATTGTTACAATCTGCTTTAAGAGGTTAGGGTGAGAAGTGCCTCAGACACCTCGGGAGTGTGCTGGGAACTGGACAGATAAAAAAGGCTGGAACTTATTATTTGGCTAGACTCTCAATTCCCATAAAATTACATAGGGCAAGGATACGAACCATCATTACAGTTACCACCCTGAGAGGGCTTGTTGAGCTTTCTCCACTGTTGTTTGTAAACCACGTTGACATGGCTGGCTATGAGGAGCTGTCGTTTTGAATGCCCAGTTGCAGACTCTTCTATGTTTTGTTAACTCTTACAGACCATCAACATAAACAGATAGTGACCCGTCTACAACTGAGACTTCCAATTTCTGTGGGCTGGCAGAGCATTTAACTCTGAAACAAGGAGGGCAGGTTTTTTAAATGTGCAAACTCAACTACAGTTGAATTTCCTGTCATTTTCAAGGGACTTTCAAATAATCCAAGTTTTCCTTAAACTGATAACCATCAAGTTGTGAAGGCATTGCTAGGGCTTAGCTGAGCACTTTTAATTTTCATCGATTGATGCATTTACTTAAAGATGTTCTTCACCAAGGAGAATGGGCTCTGAGATGCAAGCAACATTAGTATAAAATGGAAACCAGTAACCATAAGAGAGAAAATTATGTTCCTAAACCATGAAGGCCAAATCAGAAACGTGCTTCTCACACCAAGGCTGGGAGGAACTCATTCCTTGCCGCCCCCTCCCACCCTAAGTTTACTCCTGCTCTTAGTGTATTATTAACCCAAACTTGAACGTTTTCTACCAGAAACAGTAACCTCTGGCTATAAACAGATCTGGACAAGCCTGAACTTTACCTAGGGAGGCAGGAACCCCAAGCCCTGCTCGAGGTGGCTCCCACTTCAAAGCCTCCTTTCATTTAAATACAAACAGGGTGAACAACTGGCAATCTACGAAACAAATACCATCCAGAAGGAAAACTTTTCAGATGGGCCAGAGCTCCTTCTTCCCTCTCCCACCCCCATCCCAGTTATCTTCAGAAGAGGCTTCTTAGTGGAGATGCAGCTACTCCTTGCAAGTTCTCTCAGTGCCAAAAAATGAATTGGAGGCTGCGTGTCGAATGCAAAAATCAATGACTTCTCAAGCTGATTAACCTTCATATAGCACTTTTTTGACTTTTTAGAATTGCGGTAAAGTGCACACACATGAAATTGGGTGCCATTTTAACCATTTTGAAATGTACAATTAAGTGGCATTTAGCACAATCATAATGTACAACCATCACCACTAGCTACAGAACACTTTCATCACTCCAAAAGGAGACCACATACCCATTAAGCACTCAAAGTTCAGTCTCTTCTCCCTACAAACCACTAATCTGCTTTGTCTCCATGAATTTGCCTGTTCCAGACATTTTGTAGAAATGGAATCATACAATACGGGGCTTTTGTGTCTGGCTTCTTTCACTTAGCTTCGTGTTTTCAAGGTCCATTCATATGGTATCATGTATTAGTACTTCATTCCTTTTTATGACTGAATAATGTTCCATTTAGAGATATACCACATTTTGGTCGTATAGCACTTTACAAGTTTGCACAATGCTTCCAGGTGCACTCTTGTACCTTAGAACATTTTGGTTTTGGGGTTGTTTTTTGTTTTTTTAATCGATAAGCAAACCAAGTCTCAGCAAGGTTCTGTGGCTTGTCTACAGCCACAGAGCTCTTGGGTGGCTGAACCAAGACTGAAATCTAAGGCCTCTTACCAAATCCCATGCTATTTTTGTTGTTGATGGTGGTGGTGGTGGTCGTGGTGGTCAGAGAACACAGTGCTCTGGGTCTCTTAGAGTCAGCAGTGAATGTACAACTACCAAGGTCCTGTGAAAGTATCCTTGTTTTAGATTGATATATGTTCATTGAGTACCTCCTATGTGCCCGACAATGCTCAGTCCTAGAGGGAGGGAAGTTGTATAAGCCAAAAGGAGTTTACAGTTTTATAAGCAGTATATAAAGGCTTGCTTAGGTAGAATGCGTTAATGGTATACTTATTTTTCCCAGCTCAAGAGTTTCCCCTGATGTGAACTGGGAGGGGGAGGGTACATTTGCTGGTGGGCAGAGAGAACAAAGAATGTATTCCCATGCTTCTGTCCTCCAAGCCAAGAGAACTGGTTGGGCCAGGTCTACTCTCTTAGCTTTGAGGACACTTCTCATGGCCTGGTGGGGAACTACCCTGATTGCCAAATATGGGGCTGGGAAGAACCAGGGCTGGGCAAGTAGTTCATATTGGTTGGGAGGCCAAGGCAGGAGGATTGCTTGAGCCTAGGAGTTCAAGACCAGCCTAGGCAACATAGACTCTGTCTCTACAACAAAATTAAAAATTAGCCAGGCATGGTGGCGCACACCTGTGGTCCCAGCTACTTGGGATGCTGAGGCAGGAGGATCACTTGAGCCTGGGAGGTAAAGTAAGATGTGGTCACACCAGTGCACTCCAGCCTGAGTAACAGCGTGAGACCCTGTTTCAGAAAAAAAGAAAGAAAGGGAGAAAGTGGGAAAGGGGAAAGAGAGAAAAAAGAAGGAAGGAAGCTTCCTCCCTTAGGATAAGATGTTGGCCTACAGCCCTCCATCTTTCCCCGTATCCAGCCCATTCCCCACACAGCCATTAGAGTAAGGCTTTGGCAACATCATCTGGCCAATGTCCTTCTGGCTGATTTTTGTATTTTTGTAGAGACATTTTGCCATGTTGCCCAGGCTGGTCTTGAACTCCTGGGCTCAAGTGATCCTCCCAGCTCAGCCTCCCAAGTAGCTGGGCTACAGGCATACGCCACCATGCCCAGCTAATTTAATTTTGTAGAGACAGGGTTTCACCATTTTGTTTAGGCTTCATTTCCAGCTTTCTTACTGGCCCTTCCCCCTCCTGTATCCTGTACTCTGGCCCCACAAGAATGTATCATCATTCTCTATCTTGCATGGATTTCTCTACCTGTACCCTGCCCCTTCTTATGACTAGCCTTTCATTCCCCTCTATTTCTTGGACATTTCTTTCATACGCATCCTTCAAGACTCAGCTGAGAGTCATCTCTTCTGGAAAGCTTTCCTGGATTCCTCCTTCCTTCTAGGCCTCCAAAGCATTGTCTGCATAAAATGGCTATGATACTTGGTCCTTAGTAGAGGCCACATTTTCTTTGAGGGTTCCTCTGCTACCAGCCCCCAAGAGCTCTTCTAGGCTTTTTTTTTTTTTAATTTTTTGAGACAGAGTCTTGGTCTGTTGCCCAGGCTGGAGTGCAATGGTGCAGTCTTGGCTTACTGCAACCTCTGCCTCCCAGGCTCAAGCAATCCTCCCACCTCAGCCTCCCGAGTGGCTAGGATCATAGGTACACACCACCGCACTAATTTTTGTACTTTTGTAGAGATGGGATTTCGCTGTGTTTCCCGGCTGGTCTAGAACTCCTGGACTCAAGCAATCTGCCTATCTGGGCTTCCCAAGGTGCCAGGATTACAGGCTTGAGCCACCACACCCGACCTTAGGCTTTATTTTTGTTTGCATGACTATTGCCCAAAAGAGTACAGATTCACCAGATGGGCAGTTTCCCTGGGGAATAAAAGACCTGTATTTGTATTTGAAATCTCCTGATTTTTAAATGTTAACGACAGCTTCAGAACTCTTAAAATTTGTTTTAGAGATTCAGCCTGTCTTCAGCCCATATTTTACCCAGTAGCTTTCCTCCCTCACTCCATACCTCTCTTTTCAAGCAACTAAGCAGTATCTTCTGTTTGCTTTGTGCAAAGGCTGGTTCTGTAAAGGTTCCAGAGGCTTGAAAGATAGATGCCTTTGAGGACCTGACAGCCTGTTTAGGGTGGTAGGACCCATATCTACATGGAGAAAGACTCTGGCAAATATAAGGCAATGCATGTCTGCCAGTCATCCTGAGGCAGGAGAATAGGGTCTGGAGGCAGGGAACCTAAGGCTGATTCACTCTGACTTCCTAGAGCCAAATCAAA